ACCTTTTGTTTGTTCCGCTAAATACTTGAAATCTTTATCGGTTAATGTGGTCGGAGTATCCCCCAAATGGAGTTTAACATGGTAAGGCGGGCAGGTGCTTCTGTAAAGGATGTAGATTCTTTTTTCAAATCGCCGGCGATAGCAGAGTCCAAAGTCCAGGGGATGTTAGTCGCACCAAGAACAAGGACATCAGAGTTATCCACTCCAACGCCTTGCATTTGCACAAGAAACTCTGTCTTGATCCTCCGAGCTGCCTCACTTCATTTTCGCTTCGGGAAACCACATAATGAATCAACTTCATCTATGAATATAATCGAAGGTTTGTTTTCTCGTGCCAATTGAAACAATGCCTTTACCAACTTTTCACTTTCTCCCAGCCATGTTTGATACAAGATCAGAAGAAGACACTGATAAAAAATGTAGAATTATTAGCTTCAGTTGCTACAGCCTTTGCAAGATATGATTTACCAGTACCAGGAGGACCAAACAATAATATACCTCTCCATGGTGGTACGTTTGCCCTTGAAAAGGTGGGGGGAATTTAATCGGCATATAACAGCCTCCTTGAGTGATTCCTTAGCTTGTTGTAATCCAGCTACATCAGACCATTTGATATCTGCTTTTCTACTACAATTGCTCCACCTAGTTGGTTTCGGAATTCTTTTTTTCAATGTCATCGTCATCATCAGAATTGTTTCCACCCTGTGCCTTTTCTGGTTTCTTATTCGTAGAAGCCTGGTCTTTCGCAGCTAGATATTTTTTCAACTTTTCTGCTCGCTCCAAATACTGTGAACACTTTGACCGCACACTTTGTTTTGCTTTATCATTTGCTGCCTCATACTTGAGAACATGCAAAAAATATTCCACAGCTGACTCATAAAGTCTTAATGCTTCTTCAAAGTTTCCTGCCTTATCTTCAAGTGTTGCTTTGTTAACAAGTTCTATCGCTTTCTCCAATGTTCCCGGCATCAGGATTATCAAATGAAAATATATTCTCAGATTAACAATAATTTACTGATAAAAAAAAATTTATATTCATAAATGTTTGTAGTTCAGGGAAGAACAAAGATATTACACCGCAGAATCTATAAAGTCACCTCAAGGAGAGTATGATATAAAAAAGTGCGAAGCACATAAAGTTTTGTTGACCATAAGTAAACTGAAATAACATTGCAAGATATGACATATTTCAAAGAAATGAATAGGACACTAATACAATCTGAAATTAAAATTCTAGTTTTTTCAATACATAGTAGGAAGAATTTTCTCAAAATCAGTCATCCTTCGAAAGCATATTTTATCAAGCATGAACCAGTAATATCATGGATATATAGTAAGTAGAAACGCGTATTACAAACAATAGGTTTCAAATTTACAGAAATTTGGATTCAAAGAGAGAAATGGGTATTAGGTTGCAGCATTATTCGATATTTTGAGTAAACTTGTTTTTGAAGGTTTGAAAAATTAATAGTAGTTTAAATCTATCCATGAAGATATGAACTTGCAATTAAGCTTAAGATCTGACAAAAGGTCACTACAAAGTACAAAAAAATCTCTAGAAATGTGTTGGAAATCTGTCCACCTTATAGTCTTAAATGAATGAATACTGATAATTTTTGCTCTAACCAAAGAGTGCATTTTATCAGTACCGTTTGGTGTAATTATCAGTATTACAGAATCCAGAATGACTTTTTAAATGGCTCAAAACTTGTGATTTGCTGTTCCGGCTTCCCTCACCATCAAGTCCATGCTTCCGAAAACTGGAAAACAAATACGGTATTTCCCAGCAAATAAGTCTACCCGGCAAATAAGACGATTCCCGTTTTTACACCTGGAAAAATGGGTTTTTGCACATAACCTGCCAATAAGACGGGTAGTAGAATCACATCAACATCAGAATCTCAAATTACCATGCAAAGGCGCATTTGTGCATAGGTTAAAATAGCCTATAATGACTTTTTCTTATAGCGTAATATTCAATCCATAACTACGGGAATTCAAACTGCTTTTCAATTTTAATCTAATTGTGTTCAACGTAACTCGCGGTTGCGTCCACCATATAAGAACATTGCCGATCTAAAGTAACACAGCAATCTGAGGACATAACAATGTGAGATAAACTACCTTATTATATTTAGTTTTTATAAATAAATATACATATAAAGTGTATATATGAAACACAAAACGAAACGTGTTGCTTCATTGATTTAATTGGTAATCCTGTAATTTGCGAACGGGACAATATAAATAGGACGGTATCACTGCTCCAAATCACCAACGCAATTCGTGGACATAAACATGTACGATTATATGTTGTTTTGATTCGTATTTTTGCAATTCAAAAACATATCTGAGCTGTTGCTGCAACAATTCCGCTTTATCGCAATGCTGCCACTAATTATTTTGAGTATTTCACGGTAGAAAAAAACAATAATATCCCACCGAGTAAAATGAATTAAATACACTTTACATCACGGTATTATACATATATCATAGTCGCGCCAGGGGATGCTATCGCCGAAGGTATTCTATGGCCCGAATTGAATACGGTAATAAGGCGACTCCAAAAAAAAAAAACTACCGTATCATACTCGCCTAATAAAACACCCCCCCCCCAAAAATCAGGCCAAAAATTTTGTCTAGAAAAGCGACTCATTCGCCGGAAATGCGGTACCGCAACTGGCTAACTAATCCCATACGGTACCGGTACCGGTACGTTATCCAACGTGGACTGGTACCCGGATTGCCAGATGAGAAGCCATGGTTCAGCATATGATTAAGCCGTCTTATCGACTTTCCTCTCCTAAATATGTAAATCCTATCTATTAACACAACAAATCTTTCTATGACAACAATCTATCAATTTTATTTCCTCTTTCTGTTTTTATTCCGTTGTTCAGGCTGTTAGGTACAGCCTGCTATTAAACTAGGAATTACGGTACTGAATACAGGCACGGTAGTCCAATACAGTATCCTGGGACCGGTACTGCACCAAATGAATAAATACCGAAATAGTTACCAAGATTCGGAGATTGCAGAAGAGATGGAAAAGTAGGTACCGGTACCGGTAAACTATTGCTGTATTGGCATTGCCAGCACAAGGCTAACATCAAACTCAGTTGTTTTTATCATACAATCCACAGTCTGTTTTGCTAATCAGAGTAGCGATAAACTTGTACTTACTCATAAAGTGACGCTAAGTAATAACAAAAAAATTTAAAGATGAACAGCCCTGTTGTTCCTTCCCAATTTCTCTGTGACAATTACAGACAGACAGAGTTAGTGTAAGCCGTACTATACTGGAGATGTGACGTCACCGAGCTCACGTGATATATCATACAGATATCTATCATTGGGTTTCGGCATTGTTTGTTTTTGTCATACTCTCATGACCTGTCTACCTTACTGATTTTCCTGCGCAGCCCGGCTTGTAATATATCAACATCCGCGTATTATATTTTGTCTTTGAAGATTCGTTTTAGTAATGAAATAGTAGGTATTGCTCTCCACAAAACGAAGCCCATTTGCTAAACTGGTAGTGCCACTCCTTGTTCACTTAGGATAGGATAGGATTTACATATTTATCCCGAGAGAAAGGAAAGCCGATAAGACGGCTTAATCATATGGCGAACCACGGCCTCTCGTTCGGTTACCATTCCATGTCGGGTATGGAATCAGTTAGTCATTTGTTTTCGGAAGGATGGACTTGATGGTAGAGGAAGCCGTAACCGACCAGCGATTACGTGAACCACCCTATTGGCAGCGAGGAGTAAAGCAATCCTCTCGCACACAACCATCCCCGCATGGGATTCGAACCTGCGAACCCACGCAGAGTAATCAGAGGCGCAGTGGCAGGCGTATGCCTAACGCTTAGCACGATGAGCCACACCGCCGCGCCACCTAACCGTCTCTCACTGGATTGAGTGTTTACGGTTCTATTACATTTAAACCCACGTACATTTGAAACTCGTAATTTGAACCCACGGCAACCTTACGGACATTTGAACCTATATTAACCCAAACCCATGGATTTTAGCACCCTCATATAGATTGAACCCGCGGATATTCGGGTGCAAATGTATGGTCACCAGTGCCAATGTATGGGTACAAATGTACCGTCACCAGTGTTTACACCACGCCGTCGTCGGATTTTTGGGGAGAGAGATGTCGCATTGTTACCCTCAGATTGTCACCGCTATTGTTCATTACTACCCTTGTTGGTCACAGAGCTAACCTCCGCAACTTTCCCCAACTGTCTGCTTTTAGTCTCGTGGTTCGCCACAAAGCTAACTTACTTGTTCTCTCCCATGCTTATCTTTCCTTCGACTGTCTACTGGGAATCAACAATTTTACAGAGAACTATCCTGTCCCTTGCTACTTCATCTGGATCTATCTAGACAAAACTACCCTTATCCACCCTCGGTTTATTGCGACCGTTTTACTACCATCGCTGGCTTTTCAAAATAGCAGCCCGCCAGTTTCTTTTTTCCCATGACCAACCTACGCGCACTGATCTCCGCTACAACTCGAGAACTCGGTCTCCCTTTTGCCCTTGGGATTTGAACACACCCTCATACCTGGCCGGATGCCTTACCATGTCTCAAAAAGTAAATTTCTGTATCATACACAGCAATTTTCGTAGCTTTAAACGGTTTGTATACCCTCAAGACCAAGGGTGCACAACCTTTCCGCTACTGGCGGTCACATTGCAACACTTTGACTCAACTGACGGCCGCCGTCACGATACACGAACTGTATTCGACAAGCTATTTTCCACAAATACCTCTATTGCGATAATATTTACTCGGGAATCTTTTTCGTTCCTATAATTAAGAATAAAACGAATATTTTTATCCAATTTATTCAATACAAGTTTTCAAACACATAAATTAATGACTTCCCTGGTCTTGCATCTTTGCAGATAAACGTGCGAAGTCAGGGAGCTCATCCGATATCATCAATCGTAATTGGGACTCAAGATTTTTATTTAATATTCCTGTTCAATACTTGTTCTTAAGAAACTTCAATCTTGAAAACGCTGCCTCGCATGTATGAGTGCTGCCAAAAAGAACGATGGTTTTTCTAGCCAGTTCTTGCAGGTTTGGATATTCAACTGCATCTCTCCAAGTGTCAAGCCGATTTTTCTCATTTTTGAACTTCTTCGCAATCTGCTCATTATTCTTCAACCTGACCATCTCCATTTGAACATGCAATGGTGCACTCTCGGTTTCCACTAAATGTGGAGAAGCAACAAGTGTAATTGTTTCTGAAATCATCTCTAAATCTTGGTAACGGTCGTTGAATTCCTTCAACAGCTCATCAAAACGGCAGAGAAACGAGCGATTGGAATTTCTTCGGAGCATATTTCTTTGTTACCAATCAAAACCGTCAGTTGCTCAAAATGCAAAAAAAATTTTGCTGACTGAGATGGCTTTTGAGGAGATATCATTCCTCACGTAAATCTTATAATTTTATGTACAGAAGACATACTGTTGTGTTTTTTCTTTGTAAGCATTTATTCAGATTCAGTAGTTGGGGTGAGTTAGTAAATCCACCAACAACGCCAAAGAGGCGAGTAAGTCTTTGTTTAGCAAAGGACTGGTTTTGTTTTGAAGGGAGTATAATTCCACTATTTTATTTCGCAACTGTGGAACACGACAAGATGTTTCCCCCTGAGATAACTTGGTGCTGGTATGCGGGTCGGTCTGAATGTGCAAAAAGTGACTTGCAACATGCACAATAAGCAAAGAAATCATAATTTGGAATGTTCAAAAAGCTAAATTTATCTTTATTTGCATTACATAACATGGTAGTACAGTGCGAAAAGAATTGCAGGAAAGGAATGATACACTGTGAACCAAAAATAATTCGAAATTTTACAAGGTTTAAGAATGAGGTATATTTACAATATATATAACCTTTAAACGACGAGCTTTCCTCTGCATAAACGCCAGAATAACTTTTTCTGTTGGAACTTCAAGTTTCCCGATGTATCAGAAGCAGGGCTAAACCATTCAGCCGGGTTTCCATGGTGGTGTTCCGCAAATATGTTTTCAAACCACGTAGCTGTGAAAACGGGTGACCGTACATTTGAACCCACGTACATTTGAACCCATGCGTATATCCACGGGTTCAATCTATATGCGGGTGCTAAAACCCATGGGTTAGGGTTAGTATGGGTTTAACTATCCGTGAACCAAAAAAAAATCCATAGGTGCAATGGCATGCAGGTGCAATTGTCATGGGTTCAAATGTACGTGGGTTCAAATGTAATGGAACCGTGAAAACGATCTTTCGGCAGATGCAGTTGTGACCAGAAGTGTGGAAATAATTTGCACTGGTCATTACTCTGATTTCGGTGAAAATTACCGCAAATTTCGTCTGTGCGTTATCCAACATGTGGTGTAAAACTGCCTTAACGTCGTTAAGCATTTGACAGCAGCCTATGATGTCGAGATCTTTTGACTGCAGAATAACTGACAGTCGATGTGTAATGCCAAGTATGCTGTCCAGTATACGTAATGACAAATAAAATCTGCGTTCATTATCCTGTATCTGAATTTGTCTCCTTTATCAGTGACAACTCTGTCTCTGCATTCTTCTATCTGGTCCAAAGAATAAACGACAGCAGAATATAATTCGCAGAATACTGTGATTGACTCATGTCTTTCCACCCATCTGGTTTCGCAAAGTGTTATCAAACGTGTGTGTCGACTTTGTGGAAGAAGTGCTATAATAGCATTCTTTAGAATTCCTGTGCGTTTGGGACTATTAGAGAAAAATTAACGACGTCTCTTATACTCCGCATTGTTCGTTTCAATCCTTCGCCTCCACATGCGTGAAGTAGCACCAGGTTCAACGAGTGCGAGCAGCAGTGAGTGTAACACGCTTTTGGGTAGGCTGCTTGGACAACGGCCTGCACTCCACGAAAACAGCCTGACATGTTGGCGGCGCCATCATATCCCTGGCCTACGATGTTACGCAGCCCAAGCCCCAGCTTGTAAGCGTCGACGACATCAGCAATTCTGCAAGAGCTTGGCCGGACAAATGACGGCTTCGACGAATCCGAGAAAATCATCTCGAAGGTTGCAGACACCGTGCTGATTCTGAACATATCTCACACAGATGGAAAATTGTTCAATACGCCCGATATCACTCGTTTCATCAGTATGCACGGCTAAATACTTGCTTTTATTGATCTTCTTAACGAGGGTCTCTCGGATCATTTCGCCGCACAGTGCGATGATCTCATTTTGAATCTGTGGGCTCGTGTTCAAGGCATTTAGAGAGGCATTCTGAACATAATTCAATAAATCTTGATCGCCGGGGAAATTCTAAATCGCAATAGCGCACGGAAATTTCCTTCGTTAATTTCGGTTTCAAAATTTGTCGGATTCGACAAAACTCCATGGTCTATGACTATGTGACCTCTTAGAGCTATGTTTTGACGTCCGCAGAATTAGACAACGTTGATTATTGGTGTGAGTGCCCGTCTGTTCCCATCCGCTTGCTGAGCTCTTGCAGAGTTCATTTGTTCGACGACATTTCCGATAGTGTGAGTTTTACAAATATTTTCGGCATGTAATTGTGCTGTGATATGGTAAGTTCTACTGGCGTGCTTCGATAATTCCTCAAGTGCATTTTTCAAGTTTTGCATCCATAGGCTCGTTGATAAACTTCAACAATTTTGACCCTCCGCCTGCATCGGGGGCCAAGATCAGGCACGATTTGCGGAAAGCGCCATTTTTGTTCGGTAGGCTTGCACGTAATTGACAAAAATCAATTCCGTAATGACGGCCAAATCGATTACGTAATGACCCCGTAATTGCGATATTTTTTCCACACTTTTAAACCTATCATAACAACCAATTTAATCCACTCCTATTCCAAATGGGACATCGAAGTTTGGTTTTTATATTCCCGGCAGTACTACACGCCGGCGACAGATGTTAAAGACAAATATCAAGGAGTGAATTTAAAATAATTTTATTCTGATTTTTATCTTTTGTATTAGCTTTGATTTTTTTTTAACCACTTTATCACCAAATTTTATGCGATCAAATTTATCATTACCAACACTGGTAATATATTTAAGAAACGATAGTTCACTTTTTAAAAATCGTATTAACGTATTAATACGACTTTTGTATTAAATAAAAATTCCGGGTTGCTAATTTATTAATCAACTACAAGCGTATTCTCTCGTTTTATTATACTTTCGCTTGCCTCGCGACGAAGACTTGTTATTTCACCGTTTTTTACAATATCCGACTTTACTACTTAGTTAGCATTTTATAATAATTATTGATGCCGACTTATTGACGATATTCCGAATTCCATGCTTCATTTTACATTAAATCATTTCTCGGCCTAAAAGTTATAACATTATTTGCGATAAATTTAGATGAAATATTACTTATATGACATGCCTTCTCCGAAAATACAAAGTTATATCACAAAACAATGCATTTTGTGACATTTATTTTGCACTTATGAAAATATCAATTTATTTTTCTAACTCAAGTTGACAATCCTATTTGCCAAGATTGACACAAGTGTGGTTGAGTGCCGGTGGTATTCGAGTCGACGATAAATCAAAATAAGTTGCCGCATTTGGTAAAGACAGGTAATCGTATTTGGCCGACATATTGCGAGGCATTGTGAAAAACATATTGAGCAAGGCCAAGTCCGGACAGATATATGACGATAAAATCGGTAACAGAACCATAGGCGTAGCCAGGGGGGGGGCCAGAGGGGCCATGGCCCCCCCCAAAATTTTCAAGAATTCCATTCCTAATCCACCAGTTTTGTGGCATCTTGTCTCGTCACGCTTGTTGATTGTCATTGTTACGTCACAAAGACTTGACCGTTCGCTCTTATGAGCAGTATGGGAAAGACTGTTTCGCAAGCTTTCGGTCAGTTGCTCGGTCTTGATTTGTTCTCGCCGGATTTTTATTCCAAACGCTTGAATTTTGATGACCAAATTACTTCGATGGCTAAATTTAAACAGGCGAAATTAGATAGTTTTTTCCAGCGAAATAAAGACTCGCTTTCCTCAAATACATCAATAAGCGCTTCTCAGGCTGTGGATGCACCGGTTACGTCAGTTACGTCTATCACTTCTATTCCCGAAGATGAACTAATAATCAACGAAGGGAGAACAAACGATCTTGGATTTGTTCTTAAGAAACATACACAGCTTACCGATGCGGAGAGATACAGGCTTCTAACTTCGGATGGTCCGAAAAACGTGACGATTCTGGATACTGTTAGACAAAGTCGTCGTAAATTTCTCAAAAAATGGCTTGACGATAACAGATTTTGCAGTTGGTTAGTCTACACCCAACTCTCTGATGGGGGTGGTTTGTGTAAGATATGCATAGTCATGCAAGCACGTTTGAAGCATGGAACTCTCAGGGACACTGCCTTTGTTACAAGACCATGCATTGACTACAAAAAATTTATGGAAAAGGCTGTAGCACATCGAGACACAAATTACCACCGAGAATCAAATATAGCTGCGAAAAATTTTGTCAAAAGCATGGAAACTGGTCAAAATGTGCGTGCAAACATGGAGGCCCAATATGCTACGCAAACAAAAGAAAACAGACGAATAATGACTTCCATTGTCAAGACTGTCATGTTCTGTGCTTCGGGTAACATATCCTTGCGCGGACATTCCGGGGATAGTGGAAATTTTGTGAACCTTCTTCTATTTCGTATCGACGCAGGGGATGAAGATTTGAAAAGGCATTTCGCTCGAATGGCCGGAAACGCTAAGTATACAAGCCCGATGATACAAAATGAAATTCTCAAGGTAGCAAGCAACATGATAGTGCAAGATATCGTTATGGAGGCTAATAAATCGTTTGTGTCCGTAATAGCCGACGAATCATGTGATATTTCTGGGAAAGAACAACTAAGCATCGTTTTGAGGTATGTGAAAGGTGGTGAAGTGTGCGAGCGCTTCACAGGATTAGTGGAAATGGATTCTGTTTCTGCCGAATCAATTTCCTCAAATATTTTGACCCACCTCTCTGGTATAGGAGTGGATTTGCAAAAACTTGTGGGGCAAGGCTATGATGGTGCAACGACAATGGCAGGTCACGTCAGCGGTGTGCAAAAACGCATTCGTGATAAATATCCGCGCGCAATATTTGTGCACTGCGCTTCTCATTGTTTGAATTTGGTCATAAATGACCAAAGTAAAGTTGCAATCATCAGAAGCACCTGTGATATCATTCGTGAGACTATTCGTTTTTTCAGAGAGAGCCCTAAAAGGCGCGCGGGTTTAGGAATTAACATCCCTTTGTTCTGCCCCACCAGATGGTCTGAGAAGTACAAGAGCATCCGAATCTTCAAA